AAACTATTTCTTCACAATCACTCCTTAAAGATGTGATTGCAACTAAAATATGAGGATAGCAAAGTGGTGGGAGGCTATAAATACCTTCAGCTCCGATCCTGGTGCTGGTGGGTTATTTCCAACAGTTTGAGTGTCAGTGGTGTCCTGTGGCAGGTAGCCTCCGCCTCCATGTCCGGTTTTGTTTGAGCCGTGTTGTCCAGCACTGGCATTGCTTTCACACATGACCTTTTTTTTTAAAGTGCTCTAAAGTTCTTTGAAACACAATAAATCTCTTCAGTGACGCTAAAAGGAAAGCTATTGTGAACGGATAAACACAAGCTGCAAACCTTGTTGTTTTTATCATTTTATGCCAGAATCTAGAGAAAAACACAAAACTGTGTCTTTTTAATAAACCATAATGTTTCCTATAGTTTAAATTCGAGCTTCGCTTTGAAATAAACAGCAATTTCATGTCTTCGGGGTCTATAGGCTTGAACTCACAGATGTTAGCAGGGATGCTGTGGATAAATTAACATCAAAAGACTCTAGTAAATCCCTCCCAAGTCCCCGCAAAGACCAGTTAGCTATAAAACTCAGAAATAAAAAAAACTGGGTCGACATGAAACCCTAACAGCATGCATGCAGCCTTCTGAATCATTATGCAGTTTTAGCTTTTATATTTTGTAACATGCAGGGTGAAAATCTTGAAGCAAAGCATGTTGTAGTATCATGTGTTATCTCTTGTCAAATATAAATCATGTCACATTCATCACAAAACACATATAAAAGAAGGTGATTCATCACGACGCAATATGCAGCATGCAGCAGTTTCTCCCAGATTAAAGCATCTATAAGTATCTGTAAGTCACTGAAAAAGTGATTCATAGTCTGTTATTGACTGTCAGACCACAGCAGCGAGAAAACTGACTGATGCATGTTTGTTGGCAGAGTTCAGTAAAATACCAGGAAAGTTTAAAAGCAAGCAAAGAGCGGCTGTTTTCAGAAAGATGTGAGGTTTTGTTCAATTATTGCACTCATAAAATACATGGTGTAATTGTATGCACACATGGAGATGACTGTACAGACGGGCTATAGTGTTTCCCTCCCTCCATAAGCCCGTTTGGGTTCTGCATTCCTCTCGTTACCAGAGTGTGACGTGTGCAGCCTTTAAGCTAATCTGGGTTTCAGACGCACATGTGCTCCATTAAGTCCAGATCTGCGTAAATAATATAACATGCAACAGCTAACATTACAGCAGGTAACCATACCCCCGCAGCTGTGCTCTGTAACAACCCGGTGTTATAAAAACAGAGCCAACCTTGATATTTAATGAGGAAATGTATGGCAGCAGCACATCGGGCGCCTTTAGCAAGACGCTTATTTGTAGAAAAAGTGTTGTTAAGATTATTAAACACACGAAGGTTTCATTTTTACTAAAGACCAAGAACATTTTACATCTTTTGTATTTAACTAGTTTGAGTTAGCCTAAAACAAATAAATTAAACATTTTGTCTTTCACCGAGTTAGTTTCAGCTGCTTCCTCTTAAATCTCATAAAGCAAATGTTTTTACTTAACTATATTATATTAATTTGTGTTGATGCAACAATTATTATTTATTCAGTAAAATAAAAATATAATTTCTACACTTATTAAAAATTTTATTTTATGATTTTATAAAATCACACTTATTTATTTTTGGGAGGACAAATCTTGAATTGTGTTCATCCAATGAGTGTTTTTATGAGTGTACATTGTAAACTTTTGCTTTTCACTACACTATTAGATGTTGAATATAAAGTATGTCCACTGCTTCCATGAGCTATAATTTCACATTTCAACTCAAAAAGACAAGCCAGCAGAAGAAAAAGACAGAGTAAAAGCAGCAAAACACAAAGACGTATTACTCAGCATTTAGCTGCATGATAACGGTTAACGTTGCCTTATGAAGTTCACAATTACACATTAACGAAACTCGAACATTTTTAATATGATGCAAACGTTCATTTACTTCAATATATGAGACGGACTCATCCCATGCAAATCCAGATATTTCAGCCTTTATTTGTTATAATTGTGATGATTATGGCTTACAGCTTATTCAAAATCGTAGACAATTAGAATATTGTGTAAAAGTACAATACTCTAGACTAAAAGTATCACACTCGCATCAGCTAATTATGCAAAGGGTTCCTGAGCCTTTAGATAGTATCTCATTTCGAGGTGAATCGCTGAAATAAATGGACTTTTGCTATATATTCTCATTTTCTGAGTTTCACCTCTTGGTTTAGTAAAACCAGTTGACGTAACCAAGTTGAGTAAATTCAACATCTCTTACAAAATAGTTTATTGGTTTACTGGACTGAAATTCTAAGTAGTGATATTATTCAAATTTGATCTTGTTTTGCTTTTGTCTCCATAAATTGATTGCATTTGATGACTTTACATGTTATATAACTGAATGATATATCTGAATAATGACTTTAAATATGAGAGAATAACAAAAATTTAACATGTTTCATAATCATTTATTCTTATTCTTCTTTAATCAGAAGTATGCATTTTTAGCTAATGTTGCTAATTTGTCCTTTTTTTGAAATATGTTGGAAAATTCTCCACTTAAAATGTGTTATTTTCTCCTCACAATGTGCACGTGTCTCTAATAGTCATAAAATCATGCCACGTGGCTGAAGTGGTACAAGGACAGATTTCCCTTCTTCTGTTGTTAAGGGCTGCTCTAATTTGGGTTATTTTTGTGTTATTGCCGACCTGCTTGGGGTTTTCTGATTGGCTCAGATTGGTTGGACAATATTTGCCTTTGCTGTCTGCCTGGGGAAGTCCCTCTCCTTCTCAAACTGACCCAAATACAATAAGTAACAAAGTTCAGAGGATGCCAGTCTTTTCCTGGTCTGGTGCTGCATCTTCCCGTCCCAGATGGCCAAGTTACTTAAAAATGCACGAGTCAGTCAGTTTATTTAAGTTTACCTAAAGAGAACAACAAGTGAACTGTGCAGGACTGTCAGCAGAGCAAACAGTTGGAGTAAGAACGATGCAAACGACCAGGAACAGCTGGTTTGGCTGCAAAATAACGAGTGAAGCCAAAAAGGGGACTAGAAAACAACAGAAAGGTGTCAGAGAACAAGTGCAGTGAACAATTCTCTCTCCCTACACTTGTAAACTGTTGTGAGCCAGTGAGGAAACGTGAGGAGTTTAGCTGTTGCTGCTCTGAGTGCCAGCACCCCTAATGAGTCTGTCAGGGCCAGTTAGCAGAGCCAGGCCTGCTTGTGTCCCCTCCAGGCCACAGACAGCTGTTATTAGCCCCGTAATGCTGCGTGCCACGGGGCTAGATTAGCCTGGCACACTGGAGAAATATCAAACATTCACTTACTGTGGCTGCTTTGCTGGTTAAAGCAGCGACTCTGTGAGGAATTCATTTAGCTGCGATTCTGGCAAAGAACCTAACGAGACAGAAAAGGAAGAAAAAAACAAACAAAATCAAACCACCGGTGAAAGATGGTGCTCGTGTGCAGGATCTCCCTCTGTGAGGCTGTCAGAAAAATTGATTTTAATCTATTACTAAATTAAAGCATGACCAAAGCTTTAGTTCAACTTAAAGCACTTGCGGTGCTATTTTTTTTTATATCACTGCTCGCCAGGAAACTGCAGTGTTATCTTTCATTTTGCTGTGTCGTCATTAAGCAAGCCATATCGACGAGACGGTCACTGCTGCCCACACTTCTTATTCTTACATTTTATAATGAGCACAGGAAATCAAAACACCACCAGATGTGTGCAATATCCTGCACTGTGCAACATCTGCAAATGACCTGTAATCAAAACAACACACTTCCAGCCTGTGCAATACATTAATCCAACACATCCAGGCTTGTTTGAGTTAAATAAGACAATTGCTTTGTGCATTGGATGCATATTTGCTTGCATCATGTAACTAATCTGAAGAAAATGTCTGTGCAATGGGCTCAGGGTTGTCCTGTCAATTAGCTGTCAAATATAGTCTCAAAGTCTAATCTTTATATTTGTGTCTGGTGGTAATTTTACTTAGATGCATGCCAGAAAGCGAGGGTTGTAGTCTCAGGAGTGAAAGATAAAACCATAACCTTAATAATAGCCTCTATTGATCAACTCAGAAAGCAGACTGCAGCTTTGGTTGTTTTCAAACTTGAATTTATTTTTACTTTTAACATCTCTATGATGCTATTGGTGATGCTTCGTTTAAAAAGCTGTAAAAAAAGCTACAAGTGGTCATCATTTTGTCTGCTAACATATGAAAGAAATCAAGTGATCTGCAAATGGGAAAGCATTGAGACGAGTGAAGAGCGGCATTAATGTGAGAATTACAGAATATCAAGGAGTCGCAGAGGTGCTTGCATTTGAGGAGTGATGGGAAAAGAGATAATGATGAAGAATGTGACAGAGGCGATGAGATTTGAAGATAATCCTGGGAGGTACTCATGTTGCGGTCCTTGGTGTCGACCCCCACTGAGCTACCATGTCTGTTCCTTGGCAGGGAACATAGTTTGTGAATCATTAGCTTTGCAGCTACTGAGAGCCTTTGCACCAGTCCTTTAGGTTGTGCTTTACAGCTGAAAGCCCCATGTGGACATACAGGGAGGAGCCAGCTGGCCTCTACACTCTAATTGTGGGTGGTGCGATATACAGGAAGATGGAGTGAGCGGAGTGGAGCTGTGCACGGGAACCCTGGCGACCAAACACAACAGCTTAGTGTCATTAGTGCCGCTGCCTGAGCCACTCTTGTGCAGTTATTATGTGTGGTACATCACCGTGAGCTGATGGGATTTAACGTGCCGCTAGCGCACGGCCCTTTGAGACTGGGTGGACATTTATTCAATGAAGGCTTCATTAACACCTGAAAGATTCCTGCATGAAAAATGAAAAACTTTGGTGTTAAATTTGAGTGTTTCATGTTGCTGCAGTGTTTGAGTTGTTTTTTTTATGAAAGTGAGATAATGCGCTCAAGATGTTTTTTTATCTGCTTTTCCAGAACAAATACGGTGCTGCAGATCGAGGGGTAAGGCTCTACAGTTCCCTGCCCATGCGCCCAAACCCTGATGGCAAGAGACTGTCCTCTACTGGGGTAAGGTCCATACCCCCTTAACCCCTCCCCCTTCACCACCTCATTTATACCTAAATACCAAATGTTTTGCACACACTGAGCCATCAAGGATGGAAACTTGTAAATCAAAGGACTGAACATTTTAAATTGAGGTTCTCAATCCTCACTGGAAAACGTTTGCAGCTTTGAAAGAGCATACTCAAGCTTTTAACTTAACGTGATCTAGACATGTTTCCTTAAAGCTGAGGTCCATAGCGTGACGTCATCAAGGAGAGAAGGAGATTTTGAACGGCTAGTTCTCACCCTTTCCCTCCCTCCCCTTCAGGAAGGAGTTGAAAAAAGCCACGCCTCATACTACACACATAATTAGTTTTGTAGCGCTTGAGGACAAGTGATGTTTTGATTATGTTCCTGCTCAGAGTGACACACCTGATTCAAACTGTTGAATCATCTCCTCAGCCTTCATCAGGTTCTGCAGGAGATGTTGGTCCCTCGTTTTGATCAAATCTGCACAGTTCAAGCAGGGAAACATCTAAAACCAGCAGGAGTCTAACACTCATGATGCTAGCACACTGTTGCCAATGCTACAACAAGCTTAAGCAATAGCTCGGTGTAGCATAAGGTACACAAGAAATAAGTCCCTTTTCATTCTTCTGCCTCCTCTTCCACAGTTAGCTTGAAGCTTATCAACTGACGTTAATTCAATGCAAGTTGAGTTAGCATTCAAGCTACGTCTCGTTGATTGACAGCTCCTTCTTGCAGATACACAACTCCATTGGTCATCGTTCTAGGCTCGTGTTAAAGATTTGTTTTGCTGTAGAGGCCAGAGGAGGGACTTGGGTGAAATATAGATTATGAATACATGTTTTATACTATAGAACAGGGTTGTATAATCAGATTTAAGCATTTTAAGTTTCTTTCAATATTTTAAACTACATATCTCAGCTTTAACAGGCTACTTGGGTTCCCCTAGACCTGCTTTGAACCTTATCACTGGGCCCTCACTGGATAGCACAAAGATCCAAAGGATGCAGCCATCTGACTTGATGGTTTTTGTGATAGCTTGCTGATAGCTTCTCTAAAAAGTGGTTTGCAGCAGGTGATAGGCCAACCAACTGCCTTGCACTGCCTTCACACAAAACAAAGACACATGGTGGTTTTCTGGATTCAGACTTCTTCATGGCTAAAAAAGCTAAGGTGATTGTTGATAATGCATAATTAAAATGTTTAAGTTATTACTCCTTTTTTCTATGGGTTGTTGTTTTTTGAAAGAAGCTGCTTCATTTGGACATCAAAGTCTCATTTTTCATTATTTAATATTTAAGTGTTCACAAGGATGCTTGGAAATGAAAAATGATTAGGTTTATTGAAGTTGCAGCACTTGCAGCTCTTTGACTTTGACAAAGTGCCAGAGCAGTCAGCCTACTTTGTTTGTGAAACCTCTTTTTTCTTTTTTTTTCTTTTAAATATATATACAAATCTTTTCGAGTTGTGAAAATCATAATTAGAATCTAGCTTGGCTTGCTTTCATGTGTTTATGTAACAAAGGAGGGAAAATGAAAGAACAATAGAGCGAAAAAAGAGAATTTAATTTCCCTCTTTTTCATGTTTCACTCCATGCAAGTGCATTTTGAATTATCTCTTCAGTGCTTCAGGGCTCGGCGAGGGGAGGAGTAGGGGAGTATACGGGGGAGGCGGGTGAGAGGCTGAAATAGAGAGACAGACAGGCAAAGTTAAAACAAAGCAGCGTAACGTTGTTGGTGGGTACCTTTTTTAATTACAGCAGAGATGGTATTGATGTCTCCGACCACATGTCCTAAATCATTTATGAAGAGGTGAGCGAGTGCTAACGAAGCCTTCCTCAAAGCGTCGTCCCCTCATGGGGCTTGAAATCATGTGTTATCTAAAGTGAATATTGTTAATGCTTTTCAGCAAAGAGACCCACTTACAAATCATGGGAATGAGCTCCACGTTGGGATGTGTGTGAGGGGCAGCCACTGCTGGACTGACCATAGGGCATAGCGGGCAATTGCCCGCTGGGCCGACCCTTTCATCTTTTATGGGCCGGTGTCTGTTTTTTTTTTTTTTTTTTTCTGGCCTCTAGTTGTTGCTGACAACTTGTCCGCGCCGCCCCACGCGACGCCTCGTAAAAGTTGGTGGATTGGCCAATTGGTAACAATACACTCTGGGCTGGACCAATAGCCAGAGGTCTGATGCACCCGCCAGTTGTTTGTGAATCTCAGTAAACAGACAGACGAGCTTTACAAAATGGAGAACAAAAAACGGAAAGCAGGAGCGGAGAAAATTCGACTAAAAAAGAAACTGGCCCTTCAGGCTGATGCTGGCACATGTGTTAAAATCTCACAGTTGTTTGGTAGTGAAGGTTCAAGTAAAATCAATTTAGGAAGTGATGGAGCCTCAGCCCAGCGACAGGTTGGAGAAGAAAAGAGGGAGGAGGAGGAGAAACCCGAGCCGGTGTTGTGCCATTAATCGACTCGCTGCCAAAAAATGATTAGCCACCGCGGGATCGCGCACGGTTAGGTAATTGCATTTCTAGACAAAATTCCCCAGGATTTCGCCCTAAAACTCGGCATATCTAGCAATATGGACATTCAGAAAGCAAAGATAACCTCTTCCGGTACTTAAACAGATGTTTATCGCGGATATTAGTGTGGCAGTGTTTGTGGCACCCTGCGCGGGCGCTCGAGGACGTGCTTGTGGAAAGAGGGAGGAAGATGTGACTGTGTGAGCATCCTGTCACAATGTCCCGATTGATCTTGCGCCCTGGCTACTCTCCTAGGGGGATGTCCCTTTGGCTGAGTGGTTAGAGCGTATGACTCTCTCCCCAGAGGTCTGGGGATCGAATCCTGCTCGGGCATTGTTTCTTCACCTTGCCACATTAGTTTTTCCAGTTCGGAAGTTGTTTTAAGTGTTGCTATTTGTCTTAAACGTTCACAATGAGGATATATTAATCCTTTTTGCAATATTTGCGATTGAAAGATGGTTTGTGCCATAAACTTTGTGGTAAGAACTGGCTTTCTTTATGTTACAGCCTTGATACTAAAAAAATAAATAAACAATGTAAAATGGCACCATGTATTGAATGTAAACGTTGTATAAATGTAAATAAACAATTCTCCAGCGATTTAATTTTTTCCCCTTCCTTTCTTTAGTCCACTTGACATGGAGCCACGGTTAACTAGTTTGGGGCACATTTTTACTTGGAAAAATAGTATTTAAACTGATCAAGCTTTGGCTTTAATGACACTGTGTAGGTTACTATCTATACATTACGTTGCTCTATTTAAAAGTAACAAGATAAAAGCACATCAGCACATACAATTAAGATTGTCACTTGCCAAATAGAGACTACACCCTCCTGTTTACCTATAAGAAACGCCTCAAAATGTCTTTAAATTCTTTATTGATGATTTAATTGTAGACAACTAAAATGGCATTTTACTTGCCAAAAAGTGATTGAATCGCTCAGATTTTCATGGAGGCTAAAATTGACCAAATAAGGGTTTTATGTATTATCTGTTGATGTTACTGTACTCATACTGTCTACTGTATCATCATAAACACCCCAAAAATGGCAAAAAAAAAAAGATAATTTCCCTTGCCAAAAACTGATTACAGTGTCCTGGTCACCCATAAAGGCTTAAATTGGCATAAATATGACTTCATTTATTATGATGCTGGGTGTGTTCCACAATCATATTCGAATAAACATGAAAATATTCCGTCCGAATATCTGTTTCTTGTTATAAATATAACAGCTAGAAGGATTTACAGTTAAAATAGGAGAAACATTTCAGGAAACTATTGTCAATTAACCACAGAAATAGGGACTAATAACATCAAGAGATAATAAATAAGGTAATATTTAGGTAAATTTAACCCTTTACACGTGACTCCCCAGGAAGGGTCGTAACACCACTTGCCTCATGCACATAAGTGACCAAAACAAAGCAGCATGGAGACACTCCGTCTCCAACCACCTCTCAGGCAGCAGCCTGCACTCCCAAGTTCTACACGTCACCAGAACATAAACAACCGCAACACAATAAAAGCAGTGTTATACAAAATGGAAGGCCTGTAGTGTTTATTCTCTTACAGTAACAACTTATCAATTTTTTGGAGGAATTTATTTGAGATTTTTTGGTTTTTATTAATTGTGCAATAGAAAAATAATCGCTAAATTAATCATCTAAATAGTCATTAGAATAGTTGACTATTCGATAAAATAATCGTCAGAATAATCACTTTAAAAATAATCATTTGCCCCCAACCCTACTTTTTTAGAATATCAGGATAGGAAGGATGGTGTAGGTTTACGTTTATTAGATTGATACATAAATATTACCAATAAGAAAGTGTACGTTGGTGTGTGTCAGAAACAGCGTAAGGCTTAATGTCTTTTCCAAAAACCCAGGTGATGGGCCGGTCTCCAATCAAAATGCCCGGGCTGAATTTTTGTCCCAGTCCAGCCCTGGGGGCAGCACATATGTACACCCACCCCCACGTCTGATCCTCCTTTAGGCAAATGAGGCTGCGTCTGAATCTCCTTGCAGAAGTTGTTGGTGAGAATGAATTTATGGACAGCCGTGTAGAGTGACGAACCCATCTTAATCGTCCGTTTTGCCACTGAGCAGCACTTTAAAGATTACATCTTTAGTGAAGATTCACAAAAGGAGACAATGTGTGTCTCTCCCCCCATCCCCGGTTATCCGTCATTTCCTTTTGTCTGTTATTACCTGAGTGTGGAGTCTGTACAGTAGCACATTGTAGCTACAGGCTGCATGGATAGGAGGAGAATATAAACCACTTAACATGCAGGAGGAAACCAGACGTTTTTCCATTGCACTTATCAGGTGCTGCGGTGAGAGCAAGTGTCAAGGTGCAGTGGGTCTCTGCCCCCCTCTTCCCCCTGCACACCCCTTTTATTTTCCCCTGATCTCTATCTCTATGACCCCCCCCCCCCCCCCCCACACACACACACACACACACACACCTAACCT